CCTTCTGGGTAAAAAGGTAAAGGATTCCCATCTGACCTTCAGGAGAAAATTTCACCTATTTCTGAATTTCGATATCTTAGGAAAGTTAAGTAGGTTTTAAAATTTATCTGCGCTTTCAACACAAAGTTTTTTTCAAAAAAAAAAAAAAAATGTACTTACAGTAGTACGACGAAAAAAGGCATTTAATTCGTAATAATTAGGGGAAAGCTGGATTTTTGTCAAAGTTGTAACCTGCATCAGAGCTATGCATTTTTGGACATTTTTGTTTTTTATAATGCCTGCGGCAGCGCACGATGCTTCAACATATATTTTCAAAAACTTCCGCGCTAACAGGCATGAACTTAATCAACAACAGAAACTTTTTTTTCTACACGAAGAAAGAACGCTAGTAAAAAATTTTTAGTCCGCCTATTCCGAATATTTCCTTCGTTGCAATTGCTCCTACTGTGCGAATTATTCCGAAACTTAAGTAAATTTTCAATGAAAATAATATGTACTTTGCATTTGGCTTTATCGAAATGACTTTGCCAAATATGGTCAGAATTTCTGATAGTTTGGGATAAACAAACAAATTCTAAGGATATATTTTGAAACCGCAGGCTAATAATGACTTAGCTATAAATACTACTCGTTTTTTCTTTGTCTCAATCTGGATTGTTAAAAATTTATTAATTAGTATTTTATTACATATTTAATCCTATTCACGTACATAAACTATTTGTATTTCAGATGTTTTTACAACAGCTCACCGCACATTAAAAAGCGTGCTTACGCCAGGTACGCTGAAGGATTAGTAGATGCGTTGGCATAATATCTTTATATTAATCCTAGAAGCGATAATAACTATGAAGAGTCCCAAGTATGGTATACCGATGGATCGAAGATGGACGACGGAAAGTTTGCCAATAGGCTCATCCATCATATTCCAGGCGGAGATCTTCGCAATCGCAGTCTGTGTTCGCTAATGACTTCGTAGAAGGACAAATGGGGCCAGAATAAATATTATTCGCATAGTCAGGCAGCCTTTAGAGTCTTTTTAAACGGCATCAAGGCTTGTGGACAGCTGTAAAACTTTTTTGGACCACCTGGGAGTCCACAATAGCGTAACGATGTGGTAGGTTCCTTGAGATGAAGAGTTAGAAGGCAACGAAATGGCTGATTGTCTCGCAAAGCATGGAGTGCAAATGCGCTTGCATGGTCCCGAGCCTTTTATAAGCTGGTGGAGGAAACCCCACGTCTCACGAATTGTAGACTGATGCGCTATGGGGAACGATTGTCTTCTCCATCCAAAATTTTGAGCATGGCACCCTCCAAAGTGTTTAACTTCTTGAATAGTCTAAGGTGGGAGTTATAACAATTAGGGTTTAGTGCAATAGATCATCTTACGTCGTAGCGGGAGTAGTCCCGACGACCCTCCCGACATTTGCATGTTTAAATCTGTACAGTAAAATGAATTTTTATACGCAGTTAATTTGTTTTTATTTTACTAGCTATGATTTCGTTTTACTAAACGTTATGTTATCTCAATTTTTAATAAATTTGACATAGAAAAAAATATATTAAAAACTTAAACACTGTTTTGGTAGGAAAAAAATATTTTCTGTGGCAACACTGGGCGTGAATGACTAAGTTTGGTTTTGTTAACACTTTTCTTTGCCTGCAAATATCATCTGCTACTCCGTTTTATGAGCATGATTTTAGGCAGCTAAAAAATTGCAAGTTATTCATGACTTCTGGGTATTTTAGATATGTTTGCATTCATAAATAGTGTTACTCGTGTGCGCGTAAATGTGTCATTATAATTACTTTGAGACGATAACTTTTAATTGTGATTTAGCGATAAGAAACATAACGTCATCGATTGTGGTTGTCGTCAAGCACTGCTATTAAACCATCGACGCCGAAATTTCTTTGCGGAAATGAAGTTATTTGTAATTACTTTTCTATTGACATTGCAAATACGTAAGTAGCTACCGGTGAATGCACATCCATATCCGTGCATATAAATAAATATTAATTATATGTTCATAGGTCGATTTCATTGTAATTTTTAAGAACCTTTTTACGTCACATATACAATTAGTTTGCTGGAGTTCCAGTTATACGCGTAGTTGTGCAAAAATTTCATCACTCTAGCAAACTAATGCAGAACTAGTCCATTTTCTCTAATTACATAACCAATTGGTAGGAATTGTTCAGACAATATTCCTGCATACAGCATGAAATACTGACGATAGGCTTTTTAGGCCAAAATGAGCGATATCCGATGGGATACGATTTTTGTGCGTTGGAGTAGACGTCACTTAGGATATCACGGTTGTTTTCGAATATTAGTACGGAATTTAAATCTTCTCTTTAGCTGTTTTCTAACTTCGCCAATTAAAGGGCCCCGAAGAATTTCAATCACGTTTTTCAGCTATGCAAAATTTTAGCATGGAAGATACTCCGCTTGCATAATAATAACAATTCCACGAACTTTTTGCCACAGTTTTAATAGGAAGTTAATATATTTTGCTTTTCTATTCTTGTACACGATTTTTGTAGGTTTTCTAATGGCTATCTAGTTCCATAGATTTAGCTCTATACTATATTTGTATATAGTCGTCATTGTGAAATTGTTTAATTGGTGTTTGTAGGTCATTTATTTGTTCAAAAGTTGATACTCTTGATAGTTTAAACTGCTATTTCGTTACATTTTATTCTCTGGTGAAAAAAGCACACATTTTCTAACAGCCAGGCCTTCTACAAGCCCCCTTATATCAATGGCTTTCTTGCTTTCAATTGTGCTTTGGTGACATGTAACATGATCAACGGAAATAAGGCCAAGGAAATAGCATCACTTTATTTCCAAATTTTTGTTGACTTTATTTCGCTTTTGAAAAGGTAATAATGTCAATTGAATTTATTTCGCACCAGCATGACCTTATTTCCATCGATCTTGTTACCTGCCACCGTCGCTTTTGGATGCCGACTGTCGACGTGCTCGTTAAATTTGGAGTTACTTCTTATTTTTTAGGCTAACTTTGCACTTCAAAGCAAAAAGTTCCGCGTGAATGATAAGTTAGGTAAGCGGGGCTGCCTCCGTATATGGAGGCCCACTTGGACTTGACTAAGCTGTCCCTTGTGATAAAACCGAATGATAAGTTACTGACCAGAGAAACTAATTTCCTAACAGATGTTTAGTTCCTGACTGCAAATTTCATCATCCATCCAGATTTTTCATTTAAGACCGTCTGTGAATGTAAGGCAGCTGCTCATAGTTTTCATCCTCTTGTGCCATAATTTTTCTTTAATTGCTGGCCGAAACCTTATTCCATAATTTGCCCTGTACTTAGTTTCCTAGTTGAGCCAGCTAGGATCTACAGCTGAAATCCTCTCATCATTCTATCCGCAGTGTTAGCAACAAGGTTATTTACAGATACGTCGATGACTGGCAGACTGATGATACTTTCTATAGAAGCCATTGGTATAGTTCTTGGCATTCCTGCAAGGCACTGCTCATCAAATGGACCATATGAACCCTCCGGCTTCGACATTCCTGTATCGCTTTCGCATTTAGTCAGAATGTAGCCGTTAAGTTATGTTAAGTTAAGTTAAGGCTACACTTAAGTTCAGTTTTATAATTAAACTCTCGACTAACTCGTTTCGTTCAGCACACCTACTAATATATATAACAGTGCCGGTCTGTATCCATTTACTTCCACTTAGGAGCAGTCATATATTTGCGTTGCTAGTCTTTTTTTGACCCCGTCTAAATTTTTACTACAACAGTAAATGGTGTTTAGTAATAACCAGAAATAGCAACAAATTCCTTAAAATTACTTATTGGCACCATGTCAGCGACGATTTCCATAAAAATGTTGTGTAAAGAATGTCGTTGCGATTAATGAGTAAAGGTTTATAAATTCGATCAGTGGTGGCGCTAAAAAGGGGCGACAAGAAGTTAAGTGAATTCGGCAGTAAATAAAAAAAAAGATTGCATATGGAACTGTAAAGTAATTTGGTGCAAAATAACGGGTTATCTATCTCGACTATTCTTTTCATTCGAGCGGACATCTCCTATAAGCGGACACATTCTTGGGAACGAACAATTTTCGTTTTGTTTTTTTCCATACAAAATGCTATCCCATACACGGAATCTCCAATAAGCGTACGCGAATCTCTAACAAGCAGTCAATTTTGTTTTTTTTCAGTCAGTCTTGTGTTTCTACATTTGTATATGTACGCAAGAACATAGTCCATATTCAAAGATATTTTCTTTTTTAGGAAAAGTTTTGCCTTTTCGTTGCCCTCTTCTTGCTGCTTGAGCGAAGCGGTCAATGAGATTTGTCGGTAGCAAAGAAAACGCCATAAATTTGAATTTATTCTTAATTTATCCTGTTTCTATCTATTGAAGAATAAGTATAATTTTTATTGAGAAACCCGCAATTTAAATTTTTTATATTTGAATTTTAATTTAATTTTTTACGAAATTCGTATAAGCGGGCATCTCTCATAGGCGGACAAAAAGTAGGTGACCATCGGTGTCCGCTTATGGGAGTTTTCACTGTATTTTTAAAGTAAATGTCAGATTTTGTTTTTTTCGGGTAGTAATAACGACACCAATATCCAGTTCTGCAGATGAATCACCCGTTATTAAAACTCTTTAACTCAACTGCCAAATTTTGTAATTACCTTAAACTCCACCGATCAAAATATAAGTAAAAGTTCAAACTGAAAAATCTACGAACTCTAGAAACTACGAAAATATTTCTGGAAAAACCCTCTCAAATTTTACTCCCTTAGTTTAGTAACAGTGCCGCCACTGCCTGCGACTGCAATCTTATCAGCGAATTGTTTTCTCTGATAAATCCAATCACCCCTCCGCACGTTCGGCAGCCGACGATGAGCGACAAGACGTACAAATAGCAAAAATATTTCACGCCAGCTATCAATATAAGACGACACGCGAACCTAGCAAGCAGGTCGTGCACATAAAAAATATCGATTTCAACGCATGCTATAGTATCGTGATATCTTTACACACCTTCGAATATTCAAATACATATCTATCAGTGCAAAGTGTTCAGTCTCGACTTACGGTTCTTAAGTCTACAAGCTGGAGTGATTTATAGTTTTTAACTTTGTTTCGCACATACATATATGTACTTTTCATAATTACAAATGCATACTAAAGTGATTCTCTCGTTACTTTTTGCATTCATCGTGATCTTTGCTAATCTGTGTACAACGATTGAATCGCGTAAAGTGATCTTCTACAATCGTCAACCAACAGTGCAAAAGAGTCAGCTGCTATCCACACAAATCATGTCGAAGCCATGTCCAGCCGGCAAAATGCGAGATCATCGTAATCGTTGTAGGCGAGCCATTATATTTAGTAGAAGTAAGTATTGGATAAGCGTATCCCGCAATGGAAGAGCGTTACTGACCCAAGACCCAAAGACTGAGAAATTTGCCTATTTGAAAAACGTTAATGAAAAATCCAATTTTTTTTTGTGTAAATCATCAGAACGATAAGTGTCAATTGTGTTTACCGAAGAGACTGGTAAAATAATCGACGGTGCAAAATACGGTTGAAGCGTGGGAATGCCTAAGTTATTAAGGCCGCAGAGCCTTGAAATCGACGAAAACTGCTGCGCAAGCGTAAATAAATATAAGCAACGCAATAACATTATAAAACGTAACTTCCCTGGGGGGAAATGCGTAGTCGACTACTAAAAGAGCCAACTTTTGGCTCGATTATTACGGCTAAGTTTTAATTGGTTTCAAGGTCATGCAGCGCTCAGTCGAAGAAATGTGTGTGTTTAGAATTTGTTTTAAAATTTTCACTTTCAACAAAAAAAAATGTGTTCAAAAAAAAAAACAAAAAAAAAACAATTAGATATGTATCCAAATATTTTGTCATTTCGTTTTTCTATTGGAAGCGAAGAGACTTGAATTTGAATTATGATATCTTCAGCAATATAGCCATAAATAACAAGCATGTACACTGCCGGCAAAAAGTATTGGCACAGCAAATTTTTCACAACATATACAACAATTTTTTTTTTGTAATATTTTGCCGCTAGTTTTGTATAAAAATTTGGTTCATTCTACAACAAAAAACATAAAAATCTAATTCCTAAACTTTGTGCAAAACTCGCGGAAATTCAGCAAATTTTCGTACAGATTTTCTAGAATTTTTTTTTGTATGCAGTTTCGCAGCCCATTAAATTCTAATAAAAAAATGCAAGCTCGGAGTTAGTCAAAAATCGCATTGATGTTTCAGAATTTTTTTTTTGTCGACGGTGCTTTGGCATATAAAGGATTTTCAAAAACATTTTTTTGTATGGAAGAGACTGCGTGAAAAAAAATCCAAAAATCAACGTTAATTCCTCACTACATAAAATTTGTGTGGTTTATAATAATAAAATTGATTGTGCTAAAAGTCTGCATACTCAAAATAATTAAAAAAAAATCGGATTAAAAAGTTGAAAATTTGCTAAATTTTCGTGAGTTTTGCACAAAGCTTAGGAATTTTATTTTTATGTTTTTTTTTGTATAATTAACCATATTTTTATAAAAAATTGGCGGAAGAATATTAGAAAAATATTTGCTGTTCCAATACTTTTTGCCTGCAGTTTATGTATGTATGTATGCATCTTTACTATATATGTATCTTTGTATGTTATTAACACATTTTAGAGTTATTAGTACATGCTAACTAAATAGGCATCATGTATGTATGTAGGGATTAAACTAAAATGAGTATAATAACCGAGCCCACAAAAAAAAATTGACACAAATTCGAGTCCAAAAGAATGTTCTATAGGAATTACATACACGTAAGAAGTTATGGGTCATATGGTAATCATACTTTCATTGCGATTTCCCAAAGAATTGGAATTTTAAAAGAATTTTGTATATTATTAAACGTCCAATATGTATGTACATATGTAAGTACTTGCATTATCCTCAAACAGAATCGACAAATATTTTCGGCGCTTATAGGCTTGCTTATAAGTTAATCTTTCAGCTCCGCTGCAAGCTATCTTTTTGTATGGAGCGTAGAAAGAAGTCCTTTATCTTGCTGTATTTATATACAATTTATTCTTTTGTTTTATTCTATTTTATTAACTATATTTTTAACATTGCAGAGTCTAAATAACACAAATGTCTCGACTGATTTAATAATCAGTGAGTGATTTTCCATCGAATTCTCCGAAATCAACTGTGGGATTGGGGCGAAGAGTAGTAGGAGATCTTCATTGCAGCAAAGCGGTGCCTTATTGGAGTAATTATAAATATAACTTAGTTTAATTATAAGATAGTTATTACGTTTAAAAAGTATTTATGTATAACTAACCAGCAAGACAGCAGTGACAAATTATAAAAGTTCATATATGGCGATTTGGGTCATATGAACGTGTGTATGAGTATATGTCTGTATTTATCGGTGCGAATGTTAAAACCTAAAGATATCGTATTTTATTATTTATGTAGCTTACCTGCATAGTTTTCTAAGATCGACACAATAAGTATGTATGTAGATATATCTAAGAGAAATTAAGTAACATTTTTTACTTACATATGTACATTGGTATCTTTTGTTTACATACGTTTTTTCTGTTTATCTACAATAAATCATTATTTGTTTTTGTATTTTTTATCAAATAAAAAACTATTTTAACGATAAGCAAGCATTGATTACTTTACGAATATATGTATATATATTTATGGTGCAATAAATTTTTAGCACTTCAACGTTTTTCTGTTATTTCTGTTAGAAGCACGTTTTACCTTGGTACAGAAATTTAAAACGCGAATCAAATCGGTTAAACAAAAAAAAAGCAGAAAAAAGTTATAAAAATTAAGCGAAAACATAAAGCAAAGCTAACTTAAAGTAAAATGACCAACATTGAATTGCGTCAAAATTATAAGAAGGCTGCCTGAATTTTGATGTGAAGCAAAACTCTCTGGGAAGCTAATACCTGTGAATAATTATAATGAGCTGCACCTGTGTGTGTGTGACCGGAATGTGTTAGTAAGCACGCGCGATTTCTCACCAGGAATGCCAACTATGTCAAAGCCGATTTCTCAATCTTAAATTGCATCCCCTCCTTCGTTATTTGAGGTAACCTGAGATTCTATACTTATTAAATAAAAAAGTAAGAAATGTAGCTGTAATGCAATCTTTACATACGCTTTGAGTATAACCGTTCGGATTATGATAAATAATGCCCCCTGTGCATTGGGGTAGTCAAAAAAAAAAGACAAATTCGGAGTTTAAAGACTCTAGCACCCTACCGCTGTTTTTTATTTTATTTTGAAATTAAAAAATATTTATAGTTCGCTTAAAGCGCTCAAAGTTTTTTCATGTATTCTAAAATGGGAAAAAACCATTTCTTGCCGATTGTGCAAGTAAGCAAACAAACTAAGTGAGCTTGGCATTCGCGGCAGCCCAGTAGTGAGAGCTGCGTACTGTAATTCCGCAGGACCCAGGTTGGATCCCTAGCAAGTGATAGAGTTTTTTCGATCCTCATTTTTATACAGCACTTGACACAAAATTGGATACATTGTTTTGAAAAATTTTCTTCTGAGTCTGTAGAAAATAGCGTTTGTAATATTTTGGTAATTCGACTTCTGAGTTAATTTTGTCACGTTAGTAATAAAATGAAATTTATTATTAACTTCCTTAGGCTTAGGTGTTTTTACAACCATATAGCTTTTAAGGGTTAAGTGTAGCTATATAGAGTTTACATGTATTTACTTTGGGTAGTGCGTGTCTTGTTACTATGTAAGTAAAAATAATTATTTAAATTTAAATATAAATGACAAATTTGGAAATCTAATTGCATTGCTGAAAAAAAAACATACATTTGTGAGGAAATGCTAGTGCCATAAAAAAGAGGAACTCAAAAAATCCATATTATAAATATATATAAATTAAAAAATTAAAGTAAAAAATTACAATAAAAACCCTAAATAAAAATAAAGAATTTGGGCGATTCCGCCGTCACGGGTTGGACATTTGTACAGAAGAAATTTCTTTTTTGTTTAAATGTATGTTCAAAGTACTCAACAATTCTGTATTTTGATAAAGCTACACCTAATTGATTATCATTTGAGTTATTATAAAATACGGAAAAAATTCCAGCTTAATTTATATGGAAAAATCTGATTTACCCGCTTTTTGGAGCAGATATATTTTACGGAAATTCGGCAAATTCATTTCACTTTTCTGCGGAACTTGATGTCTTATAATAAAATAAAGAACCAGGAACACAAACAAAGCAAAAACTACAAAAAAATTATTGCTTTATTATACAAAAAAATCGGAAATTCCTCTGCCACGGGTGGGACAACGTTTGTCACGGGTAGGCCACGTACAAACTTTTATATGAAAAGAAGCTTTTAGTGGGGTCCATATATAAAGATTAGTTATTAAAAAATAATAAGAAGCCAAGTAGGGGTTAAATTCACTCACGTTTTATCTTAGGATGGTGCCTTTTATATCGAAGAAAATGCTTAGCACCGTCAGCCAAAAAAATAATAAAAATGAACGTGATTTCCTATCGTCTTGATATTTTCCAAAAATGTAACATAACTTAATCAGATGAACACAACGATATATAGATAATGGACGAGTCCGCACATCCCCCCTGCTCCCCTGCGTCCACCTAAACAAACATATAAAGCTTATCAGCCCTGCAAACCTTCCTCTGACAACTGTCCCACACATAGCTATCACGGCTTCTCTGTTGAATTATTCTTACTAGTGTTCGCCCAGCGGTTGAAATTCAACCGATAAAATTAAGAATAGTTTATGTAAGTTGAATGAGCTAAAATAACATTAGTTGGAATGGGTTAAGTGGAGGGGAGTTTAGCTTAGTACTTGGTATAACATAACATAACCATAACATAAGAATAAATAACATAACATATGAAGCATAACACACCACAATATAACATNCTAACTATGACAATGAAGTTCTAACATTATGTAACAAACTTTAACCTTTTTTTGTCACGGGTGGGACCAGACCAATACTGCTCCATAATAACTCATAATATAGATAAAGCACTCACACAATTTAATATCTAATACAATTTTATTAAAAACAGATGAGTTCTACTATAATTTTTTCTTACCAAATACTTGAATTATGAAGCGCAAATTATTGACAGTATTTTCAACACAACCTACTAAAAAAATTTACTTATAACTTGATTTTAAAACTTAAAAGAGACAATAAAAATGCATGAAACCTCCCATTTATAAAAATTAACAAAAAAAAATTCCTGCGGCAGGACTTGAACCTGGGACATCAGGCATACCAAGCGAACAAAAATGCATACCTACTTATGCTTCTCACGGGGCAGACTATCTCATCATGCATAGCCTGACACTTTGAACTATAAAAATGAGGTATTGATATGAAACAAAAAGTGACACATTTTTTAAAGGAATTAACAAAAATAAAAATTATTTTAAAATTTTATGTATATTGTACCTGTATAAAGACTAGCTACGAAATGTACGTTTTTTTCTAGTTAATTTAGTTTCTTTTATACAATTGAAATCATGACGTTAAACCGCATTTCACGAGGGCGCAGCTGCGGTAAAAAGCGAGTAGACATTTGAACGAGCATTAAATAACAAAATAATAAAAAATAATAATAGAATTTGGGCATTAAAAAATAACTACAAGTGTTGTGTATAATTTCCACCAGGCATTAAAACGGCAAAAAATGTATGTAATTAAAAAAAAAAAAATGCCATGTGGAAATTAACTTAATGAATATTTTTTTTTTACGTAATGACACGATTATTTTTTAATGCCCAACTTTGTAATTTTTAATTTTTAGCATTTAATGTCTAGTGGAAATCCAGTATAACAAGTTTTTTTTACACGAAATTTTTTAAATTGCAAAAATTGTTTGTCTTTTAAATGCTTGGTGGAAATTCGGCATTACTTTCATCTATCTTATCTACTAACAATTAAAACTCAAAAGTAAGCAATAAATTCGCGTACAATTTTACCATATGTGACCTGGTCTACGAAAAGGGAGCTTACGTGCGAAAACTAGTTTTCTGTGAAAAAGCTGTTAAAAGTAAGCAACTCGTTTCGTCAGTTTCTCATTATCTCGTTAATTGTTCTCCGCGCCGGACGTCCAGTAAGTGTTGTTGTTGGTCCNGTCGGAATATTATTATAGTACCAATAAATTATATTTTGTCGTATTTTTACTCTTCTTTCTCTACATTTTTAGTACACTTCTAAGCAAGTTAGACCAGGTCACATATAAAAAGTCAATGTCCTGCTTCCTATACGCTTTGCGCTTACCACAATCACTTCAGTGTGATAAAGAGATCAACCTGCACATTAAACTTGTCTCCAAAGCAAAGCAATACAAAGCAGTTGAAAGCTATTTAGAGCTTGAGTTGAGTTTCAATGTGATTAGTTGCTCAACACCTGGCAAACTTAATCTTTCCGCCTAAGCGCACAACGCAAAGGCACAACGGCGTAAATCATGCAGATAAGCTGTATAAAGCGCTTCGTTTCACATGAACACACACGCACACACTCACACATGTATCTACACAATTGAGTCGCTGGTAACTCTCCTCACTGCTAATCACTGCGGAAAAGGAAATACGATTATTTCGCGCTTTACCTTTGCCATCAGCTTCAGCGTACTTAACTTCAGTACATCGCAAGCTGACGTACATACATACACATGCATATATGTATATATGTATAAATATGGATACACCTTTAGCTGATATCAACGCTTTGTGGCATAAAGCTCCTTAGGCGTATTTAATGTCTGCGCTGCATCGAATCGAAATCCCAAATTGATTTTATTTTGACACGCAAAAGCCAAGTATTCTTTCAACGTCGCGTTCACATTCGAAACGCATGCATGCGTGCAATGCTCACCAGTGTTGTAACATTTTTTTTTTTTGCGCGTGTGTAATGTATGTATCCCTCTAGGAAATACGAGCATTTTGATACTCATGACGTAAACATTCCGCAGAATTAGCCCTTATAGGGTCTCAAGCAGTATTGCCACAAAAAAAAATTACCAAATTCCTCAAAAATATATGAAAAATCCTCAATATCCGAACAAATTACTGAAAATTTTCTTATTTACTATTTACAGGTACTTAGCATAAAAATTAATTACATTCTCCAATTCAATTGGTACATTTGGTCTTGCGGTTCAAACGAAGTATCACCGTTATTTTTTTTTGGCCTTGGTTTGTATATAATATTACTGCAACTATATCAGTGCTCAATCTGGTCCTCAAGCCAGTTCTACACATTTTTAAACTACTAAATATACGTTCTACTGAAACATTGAGGGAAATGTGAACAATAATCAAAATTTTTGGATTTTCTGGCCGCCATTTTGACGTTTAATAAAACCGCTTACGTTGTGTATGATAAAACCGTCTCATTCGCAACCGAATTTTTACCAAATGAGGACGCAAGAGAGAAAAATCGAAGAAAACCAAACCCTTTTAGATTGGGAACCGGTGTTTGCATGATGTATGGCGTAATGGGAAAAGTAGGTTTGAAGAATA